GTAAACGATGCAAAAATCTCATTGTAGGGTGCAACGAACCTAACGACTAACAACAACATCGTCGTTCTCGTCGTCATCATCATCATCATCAACAGCAACTACATCATTGCATACCTTTCAAACGTATCGAACGTAGAGAGCTTGAACAAACAACAATGACGAGAGGGCAACAACAACAACGACAGAATAAATGAAGAAGTTTCTTGGCCCAAGAAAATATTTTTAAATGAACCACGAACAAAACGAGAAATGTTGGAAAAGAAAATGAAAAGCTAAGGGAAGGATAGCCATAAAGGAGATGGGGATTAAGGAAATTTATAGGCATTCTCAATATTATGAAGGTATTGAGTTTAAAAAATTATTTTAAGTTTGGATTTTGACAGAATATTTTCCCAAGGTTCCTAAGGTGTGGTTTTTTTAAAGAATATTTTTTTAAGGCGTGGATTTTTTAAAGAATATTTTTTCAAGGAGTGGATTTTTTAAAGAATATTTTTTTCAAGGCGTGGATTTTTTAAAGAATATTTTTTAAGGCGTGGATTTTTTTAAAGAAAATTTTTTCAAGGCTTGAATTTTTTTAAAGAATATTTTTTCGAGGCGTGGATTTTTTTAAAGAATATTTTTTCAAGGCGTGGATTTTTTAAAGAATATTTTTTCAAGGCGTGGATTTTTTAAGAATATTTTTTTAAGGCGTGGATTTTTTTAAGAATATTTTTTCAAGGCGTGGATTTTTTTAAGAATATTTTTTTCAAGGCGTGGATTTTTTTTAAGAATATTTTTTTCAAGGCGTGGATTTTTTTTAAGAATATTTTTTCAAGGCGTGGATTTTTTTTAAGAATATTTTTTTGAGGCTTGGATTTTTTTTAAGAATATTTTTTTTAAGGCGTGGATTTTTTTTAAGAATATTTTTTCAAGGCGTGGATTTTTTTAAGAATATTTTTTCAAGGCGTGGATTTTTTTAAGAATATTTTTTCAAGGCGTGGATTTTTTTTAAGAATATTTTTTCAAGGCGTGGATTTTTTTAAGAAGTTTTTTTTCAAGGCGTGGATTTTTTTAAGAAGTTTTTTTCAAGGCCTGGATTTTTTTTAAGAATATTTTTTCAAGGCGTGGATTTTTTTAAAGAATATTTTTTCAAGGACTACCCAAGGGGTCAAATTTTTAAAAACTATTTTTTCAAGTAGCCTTGGATTTAAAAAAAAAAAATATTTTTTCAAGTAGTCATAATGGCATTCCTTCCCCTCACACAAAACTGCATTCGCTCACTTCGTTTGACAAAGAGGATATGCACATAATATTCAAATGGAGGATGTTTAAGTTTAGAATCTTTAAAAAAAGTTTTGCAGTTTGTTAGCTCTTAAGATGCAATGCACAAATACAGCAGACTTACACACACACACACATATTTACTACATACACATATATTTACTTGTATAGGTCGTCTAACGAGTCTTGAATATGAATTATTAGGGTGTAATGTTAAAATTTCCCTGAAGGTATCTTTGCTGAATTGATTTTTCTATAAAAATATTTAGCTGAATGGGATTTATGAAAAGCAAAAATTTGCTGAATTGACTTTTTAGGTCAAGAAACTTTGCTGAAATCGCATTTATCTAGAAAAAAGTGTTTAAAAATTCGATATCACCATAAAAAATAGGTGAATTGAAACTTCTTAAGGGGAAAATTGGCTGAATGTAAACTTTATTTAAATAAATGTTAATTATTTATTATTAGAAATGTTAGCTGAATATATACATTTCCTTAATAAGTATTAACAATTTGCTAATTTTTGACTATGAAATGTAGCTGAATTGTCTTGTTATGTGAAGAAACTTTGCTTAAACCGAAATTTCTTTAAGAAAATTTTGCTGAATATAAATTTTACGAAGAAAAAAATTTTTTTGTAATAAATATGTGGCTGAATTAAATTTCCTTTAAGGAAATATATTTCTGTGAACTTTTTTATTAATAAAAAGTAGCTGAATTGCAAATTTCTATACTAAAATTTAGCTGAATTGACATTTTTGGATAAAATATTTAACTTAATGCATTTTTTCACTAATAAAACTTAGAGTAATGTAAGTGAACTAAATAATAATGCGATAAAACGTAGCTGAATTGCTGAATTTCTATACTAAAATGTAGCTGAATTGACATTTTTGAATAAAATGTATAGCTTAATGCATTTTTCTAGAAATAAAACTTAATGGAATGTAACTGAACTGAATAATAATGCGATAAAACGTAGCTGAATTGCAAGTTTCTATACTAAAATTTATCTGAATTGACATTTTTGGATAAAATATTTAGTTTAATGCATTTTTTTTCAAAAATGAAATTTAATGAAATGTATCTAAAAAGAAAAATTTTGCGATAAAACGTAGCTGAATTGAAAATTTCAATATTAAAATTTAGCTGAATGCAATTTTTGAATAAATACATTTAACTTTATAGCAATTTTCTTAGAGAAAACAACAATTTCATCAATGAAAATTGTTTTAATGAGTTTAAAACGTTGCTGAATATAGATTCGTCTTAAAAACAAATCCTCTGCATATCCACCATTACAACCCAATATAGCATTGAACGATCATTATAATGAAGTTACTACTTCTTTTTTTCTTCTTCTTCTACTTTCCTGCAACCCAATACATACATATACACTCTAATTTTTGTGTCTAATATGTTTGTGTGAGTGTGCCTGCGAAAGAGATTTTGTTCTGCTTAGTTAGTTAAGTGGATCAAATTCAGCCAGAGAAAGAAATGCACCAGCATTCAATGCAGCTGGGATGCATTTTTCTTCGTTTTGATTCGCTTGAATTGCGACGAACAAAAAGGATTACTTGGCATGGTTAGAGTTGAAATTTCGGAAAGAATACAAAAACAACAACAACAACTAAAAGAAGCAACAGATGTTGTTGTAAGGTTTAAAAATTTTAAAAGCAAAATTTTATTTCAAAAAATATTTTTAAAAAATGTATCATATTTTTATTAGCTGAATAACATTTTTCATTCTAAAAAATGTAGCTGAATATAAATTGCATCGCCTAAAACTTGTCAAAAATACATTTTTTTAATTAGAAAACCTGGCTGAATTCATGTTTCATCACAGAAAACAGGGCTGAATTGAATTTTTCATTATAATAAAAGTTGCTGAATTCAAGTTTCATTACAGAAAACGTAATCAAAGGTATTTTTTAAATATATTTAGTTGCATTTTCAATATAAAAATGTAGCTGAATTCAAATGTTATCACCTAAAACTGGTCTGAAATAAATTTTTTGTAATTACATTTTGCTGAATGGGGAATTTCTATAATAAAATATAGTAAAATTGAATTTTTCATTATAAAAAAGTAGCTGAATTCACAGTTCACGACAGAAAACATGGCTGAATTGAAAAATCAGCTGAATTCGAGTTTCATAACAGAAAACACAAACGAAGGTAATTTTTTAAATATATTTTGCTGAATTGGGGTTATCTATAACAAAATATGGCTGAATTGCATTTTTCAATATGAAAATGTAGCTGAGTGCACACTTATTTACAGAAAACTTGGCTGAATGTAATTTTTACGTAATTAAATTTAGCTGAATTGGGTTTTTCTATAACAAAATATTGTAAAATTGATGTTTTCATTTCACATTTCATGACAGAAAACATGGCTGAATTAAATTTTTCATTATAAAAAAGTAGCTGAATTCATGTTTCATCACAAAAAAATACATTTTTTAAATATATTTTGCTGAATTGGGGTTGTCTATAATAAAAATAAAGTTGAATTGCACAAACAACTTGGCTGAATGTACTTTTTATGTAATTATAATTAGCTGAATTGGGCTTTTCTTTAATAACATATAGCGAATTCATATTTCTCCGACAGAAAACAAGGCTGAATGGTATTGTTCATTATAAAAAGCAGCTGAATTCAAGTTTCATCACAGAAAACATGATCAATGGTAATTTTTATAAAATTACATTTAGCTGAATTGGGCTTTTCTATAATAAAATAATGCTGAAATAAAATTTTCTATATGAAAATGTTCCTGAATTCAAATTTCAATACAGAAACCGTGGGCGAATTGAGTTTTTCCAGTATGCAAGTGTAGATTCATATGAAAACTGAATTGAACTGAATTGAAATTTTCGCTATAAAAATGTAGCTGAATTCAAATTTTAGCACAGAAAACGTGGCTGAATGTACCTCTTACCTACAAAAATGTCTTCAAAAATGTTACAATGAGAAAATTTAGCTTTATAAAATTACTCAAATTTAAAATTTAGCTGAATGACATTTTTAGTATGAACATGTAGCTGAATTGATTTTTTCGCTAAAAAATGTAGCTGAATTCAAATTTCATGACCGAAAACTTTGCCGAATGTAAATCTTACCTACAAAAATGTGTTCAAAAAAAAAAGTTCACAAAGAAAATTTAGCTTTATAAAATTTCTCAAATTTAAAATTGAGCTGATTTACTTTTTTGAACTAGTTAAATTTAGCTGAATGACATGTTTTAATAGAGAATGTAGCTGAAAGCTATAAAAATATAGCTGAATTTAAATTCCATGATCGAAAACTTTGCTGAATGTAACTCTTACCTACAAAAATGTGTTCAAAAAATTTTACACTGAGAAAATTTACGTATATAAAATTTCTCAAGTTTAAAATTTAGCTGATTTGTTTTCTTTTTAATTATTTAAATTTAGCTGAATAGCATTTATTAATATTAAAATGTAGCTGAATTGAATTGTTCATTATGACAATCTAACAGACTACAATTTTCATTAACGACAACTTGGCTGAATTGAATTTATCAATATGAAAATGTAGCTGAATTCAAATTTTATCACATTTTTTGGTATTTTCATATGAAAATAATAATTTGTTGAAAGTAAAAATTACCTGAATTGATTTTTTTTTTAATTTTTTTAATATATTATTTATGTATATATTTTTTAGTGTATAATTAAAGAATATAAAAATTATAAATAAAAAAATTGCTTACAATTTACCATAAGTCTTGATGTTTTTGTGTTGTTGGACAAGTCTTGAAACTTGTTGGTTATTTGCTTGATGTGGTTGCCTGCAAGTTGCAAGGGTCTTAGAAAGCGAACCTCTTGTTGACGACGATTGGTTAAATTTCAAAGGAAATTGAAATTTCGTTTTCTTTGAGATTTTTTCAAATTTGAATTTCTGCCGAACGAGACTCACTTTGGACGCGTCACGCGAAAATTCGTAGCACAAGTTTTGCGTATGCAAATCACGTTTGGCTGAGTGGCTGGCAGCAGGAACCTCCAGAACAAAAATCACTTTTAATACTTTTTTAATTTGTTGTTTTTTTTTTCTTTTTTGTAAAACTTTTATTTTTTCTGAAGTGTGTGTGTGAGTGTAATTTTTATGAGAATTGGTCTTTTTTTTCGCTTTGGAATTGTGTGTAACAATCCGCCGGGATGTATTTTTATGCTGGCTTGAATTGTTGTTGTTGTTGTTGCTGCTGTTCTTTTGACTGTAAATTTGTTATTTTATGCACTTTGTGGTGGCCGGTATGACGATTGGGCTGTGCGGTGTTTGGGTTTCTTCTTGGGTACTTCACTTGCCCTGTCTTAACATTGCCAGACGTCGTCGTCGTCTTCACTTTTTGTCGTCTTGTTTGTAATTTTTTTTTTCAATTTTTTGTATTTTTTGCAAATTCACTTGGCACTTTTTTTTTGGTGGGGAACGTAACAAACCGAACAAGGAATGAACGAAGAAGTCGAAACAAACAAAAACTTTTCAGAATCACTTTAGAATTTACTTTTTTGTGAGAAGAAGAAGACGAAGCAACAACAGCAACAAATGACTTGGGGTTTGAGTTTTATTTTTGGTTGGTTGGGATGCAAATCACCAAGTCGGTCACAAAGACAGCCAGATCGACAGCCAGTCAGACAGTGCAACAGTCAGTGAGTGCATTTACACTACCCAGCTTTGCGGCTGAGAATGATACAATGGGAACGAACACCACAAAAAAAAAAACACACACACACAAAAAATAATCTGGCGAAAAAAAAACCCAAAAACTGGAGTCCATTCAACTTCACTTTTTTTTGGATATGTGATATATATATTTGTGTTGTTGTTGTTATTTTAATTTTTGTTGCTTTCGGTTTTTATGTGCGTTGTTCTGGTGTTTGGGTGTTGTTGTTGCTTTTATATGCAGTAAGTAATTTTGCAAAAAAAAATATTATTTCACTTTTTTACACTTGGACGGCGACGAAAACAATTTTTTTTTGATACAGCAACACAGAAAAAAAATTTTATTTATTATTTATTTTTTTTTTGTAATTCAATTTTTTTTCAATTTAATAAAAATTATTATTACTTATGGAAGGCTTATTTGTTTTGTTTTTTTTTTAATTAATACAACATTAATAAAATTATTTTTGTAAAAATCTTTTTTTTATTTTAAAATAATTAACATTTTTATAAAAATATTTCCCACAATTTCCAATAATTTTTCATAACTGGCCCACCGAGAACAAGCTACTATGTACTTTTTTCGGCTATATCTTTCTTTTTTTCGTTCAAATAAACAAAACCCCGATTCGTTCGTTGTCGTCGTCTTCTGTAACAGAGATCTCTTTGAAGGCGACAAAACACAACACGACGTAACGCAACCGTTTTCAATGAATGACAAACGTTAACTGTTGTCTTGTGTGAATTTGCCGACAAAAACGCCAAGCAGATACAACAATTTTTAGTAACAACAAATGGGGGGAATTGCTGCATGCTGCCCACAGAGTAACAGATTCATTGAATACTCACACACACAGCGGAACACTCACTCGTTGAATGTTCGATGCTCCACATCGGCTCTTCTCTCTGTAATACTCTCTCATATTTACTCCCCAATTGGATGAGAATTTATGTTGGTTACAACAAAAAAGGTAAAACAAAACAATACGGAGGAAATTTCTCATAACATGATGTCGGTGTTCATTCTCTCTTTCTCGCTTTCATTGGCCCTCTCTGAGCAGAGTTGCCATTAAATTGTGTGTTAAATATGCACAATATTAAAACTACTTTAATGGTGAAGGGATTAAGACGATATTTTTTTAATTTTTCATATTTAAAATATTTTAAAATAAAATAAATAAGGTATTTTATTCCTTAAAAATATAAAATAATGAAATTATTTTAATTATCAGATTATTTATCAATTATCAAAAATAAATTTAAATAAAAACATAAAATTATTTGTAACAAAAAATTATAAACAAAAACTATATATTTTTTTTAATAAATGAAAAATGTTGTTTAAAATATCCACGCCGTGGGTAGACCTTGAAAAAATATTCTTTAAAATATCAACGCCTTGGGTAGGCCTTGAAAAAATATTCTTTAAAAAATCGACGACTTGGGTAGGCCTTGAAAAAATATTCTTTAAAAATCCACGCCTTGGGTAGGCCTTGAAAAAATATTCTTTAAAAGACCCACGCCTTGGGTAGGCCTTGAAAAAATATTCTTTAAAATATCCACGCCTTGGGTAGACCTTGAAAAAATATTCTTTAAAAATCCACGCCTTGGGTAGGCCTTGAAAATATACTCTTTAAGAGATCCATGAAAGATCAATCCGACAAACATTAGGAGTTTGGTGCAAATTGGACGAAAATATATACGTGGGACCTTTATCTAAATCTGAACCGATATTCATGAAACTAAACAAACCTCATTCTAGGTTTGTTTAGTTTCGTAGAAATCGAAAGACACATACGAATTTTGGTGCAAGATTTACATTACATCGAACGAAAAAAATAAAACCTGAACCGATTTTCAGGTTCATCATCATTCATCATTCTAGACTTAATTTAGTACGCCATGCCAAATTTCGTGAAAATTGAAGAATATATAGGGACTTTGGAGCACTATTCACATAAAATCGGATGAAAATATATATGGGAGCTAAATCTGAATCGATTTTCACGAAACTTCGCATATTTAATTCTAGACTCAATTCAATGCGCTATACCAAATTACGTGCAAATCGAAAGATACATAGGGGCTTTGGAGCTGTACCTAAATCTGAACATTTGACACACATCGTTCTACACTTAATTCAGCACGTTGTGTCAAATTTCGTGCAAATCGGAGACTTTTGTACAATATTTACTTAAAGTCGGACGAAAATATATATGGGAGCTATACCTAAATCTGAACCGATTTTCACGAAACTTAACACACATTACTCTAGACTTATTTTAGTACGCTGTGTCAAATTTCGAGCAAATCGAAATATATGTAGGTACTTTGGTGCACCATTTACCTTAAATTGGACAAAAATATATATAGGAACCGATTTTTCCAAATTTCAATAGCGTTCGTCCTTGGGTCAAATAAATAAGCTGTGCCAAATTTCATCCAATTCGAATCAAAAATGCGACCTGTACTTTGTTTACAATTTAACATGGACAGACGGACGGGCGGACATGCACAAATCGAGTTAGAAAGTGATTCTATGCATATTTTCAAATGGAACCATATGTCTATCTCGTTGTGTAATTGGTGTCAATTTAAAGGTCATCTGCTCCTCTTGGATATACTATCAACTTCTCGGGTCTATATATTTGTCATTTTTCACACAAAAGTCAGTGTCCATTTGATCCATTAAATATTGACAGATCAAAATAGGCATGATTATTCTTTGGCCCGATCCTGTTCCCCATGTAAAAATACGCTATGTTTGGGCAATAAATGTGGCCTCTGGAGCGACCAGAAAATCAGACAATAAAGTTTTAGGTCCATTTCATGCCCTAAATATTAACCGATCTTTACAATAGGCGTCTTCATTGGTCAGAACCCATCCATTTCATGCCCTAAATATTAACCGATCTTTACAATAGGGGTCTTCATTGGTCAGAACCCATCCTACATGCAGAATTTCGTGACGATTGGTCCATAACTGCAGCCTGTATCCTGTTTACAAATTATAATGGACAGACGGACGGACAGACACACATGTCTAGTTCGACTCAGCTTTAATTCGACTCGAGATATGACGATCGCTATACTTAAAGATGGGTCTAGTACATGCCTCGGCATTTCGGCGCACATGTGCAGTCACAGAAAGCGCGAGCGTAAACAACCACCAATCAGTCTCGTTTGAGCTGTTGACGAAGGTGGTTGTGTTGTCGCTTGTTTTTATGATTTTGATCGTAGCAATGTATTATTGCAGACGAAGTTTGTCGAGAGAGCGAAAGTTACTCTCGCACACTTTGTGTCTGTGTGACCACACAAATGCATATGTATATGTTGCCGAGCGCTGGTCTAGTACCAATATTTCGCGGCGTTACAAACTCTTGGGGTTGCACAAAGCTATAAAACCCTGACAACATAGATGTGTAGGGAATAAAAATGTACGCCTTTGGTAGTTCTTGAAAAAATATTCTTTTAAAATCCTCACCTTGGGGCTACTTTAAAAAATATACTTCAAAAAATCCACATCTGAATAGGCCACGATATATGACCACTTGAAAAAATGTTCTTTAAAAAATTCACGCCTAACGTCTACTTAAAAAATATTCTTTAAAAATCCACGCTTTATTTTAGGCTATGAAAATATGTTCTTTAAAAAAATCCACACTTTGAAAATTTTTTCTCTAAAAATTAACGCCTTATTTTTATCCTTGAAAAAAAATCTTTATAAAAGTGGCTTTTTTAGGTTAGCTTGAAAAAATGTTATTTAAAAATTCACACCTTTGGTAGGCCTCAAAAAATATTCTTAAAAAATTCACGCCTTTATAAATAGTTAAAAAATCGCAAATATTTCTGTGCGTATTTGGCAACCCTAGCTCTACAACAACGAATACCTGTTACTTTCTCTGTCGCAGTGTTTTATTTATCCCAGTTGGGATTCTCAGTACTCATACGCTCCCTAACAACATACACACAGCATACATCTCCCGAAAAATATAAAATACACACAAATACATAGACACAGATGCCATTGTATGCATTACGATTGCAATGGAATGTCATAAAA